GATAACACTGCTCAAGAAGAAAGGGAAAAAAAAATCCTTAAATTTGAGAGCGGTTAACAGTTTGTAGAAAAGTCTGTGTAAACAGTATCTCAATGGAAAATAGAGAAAAAGATTCTGCAATTACAGGATAGTGCCTCCCTTTTCAGTCCTTTTCACCCAGCTAGGGTTCAAATAAGGTGTAACAACATCTGAAATAGGAATTTCATTCAGCAACTCAAAAAAAAAAACCACCCCAAAACAAACAAACAAACCAAAAAACAACAACAAAAAAGCAAACCAACCTATCTTAATGAAAATTTTAGTTGTTAAAGCAGAGTACATCACCTCAGATCTTTTCACGCCACAATTACAATGGTCAGCTACACAATATAGTACAACTGGAGAGCTGGTGACTATAAGACTTTTCCCCCTTTTCCTACCTCTCCCCCTCTGCTTTATCTCTAATGTCATGTCATTAGAATTATGTTCCAACTGTATAGTAGGGTTTTTTTTCCTCACTATACCACTCAAGAGCAGCTATCAATATTTTTTACTTAAGTCACAGAATTTAAGGTAAAGAGGTAAAGTGTGCATTAAAAATAAAAATTAAACATCTTCAGCAATGCTCTTGTGTTCCCCAAAGCCAAATAGGATATGTGTTCTTGATGACTTTCAATACTAGCTGCTTCTTTAAGTGTCACAATTTTATGATCACTATTATGTCAAATTAATGTGGAGTTTCCTTTACTTGAGGCTTGCCATCTTTCCCATTACATAGGTACTGAGATAGTCATTTCCTGTTCCTTACTGGGAGGTAAGTTTTTGAGAGAGATGGAGAGAAAAAAATCAACCTTTCTCACAGGAAAACAACACTCTGTGTACTGAAAATTAACTATACTCAAATTTGTCCTGCAAGATAACCCACCAAACCTGTACACTCTGCAGAAATACTGAACCCCAGTTGAGCAGTACAGGAATGTATTTCACTCTCACAGCATCACTTCTTTAATCAATTACATGTTGCTCACGCCAGCCTCCCTGTCAGGAAATAATGAATTCCAGATAACCCACCTGCTCTTTATCCTATCCCAGTAACTGCCATACCCAAATAAAAGAGGCCACACCCTCAGGACAGGGCCTTCGGAAGCACTAAGAAACGCTTCCCTGCGGGATATGGAGAATCTTTCTTTCCTTCCTCACCGCTGGCGCCGGCGGAACTCCTCAGCACCGCGGCGGAGGCTGACCTCCAAGGCAGCCTCCCTACGGCGCGGGTAAGGGCCCGGCTGCCTCCACCCTGACCCGGGGAACAAGTTTCCCGAAAGCAGCCGCACGGCGACCGCGGCACTCTCCCGCCTCACAGAGCCGGAGCCGACCGCGTGGCGCAGGCCGCACCGCGGGCCCGCCGCCACCGGAGTTTTAACTGTTCGGCGGGACCGGCCTGCCTGAAGAGGGATAAAACTTGGTCAGCCGGGGTGCGGGGGGAGCACGGTGCTAGCGGAAGGGGGAACCGCCGGCTGACGAGCGAGCAGAGCTTGGAACCGACATCACGCAGGGGCCACCCCGCACCCGCGGCCCCTCCGCGCCAGCCCCCCCCCCTCCGCAGCAAGAGGCTAGCCCCAGCGCAGGCCGGGCCCGGGCAGCAGCAGCGTACCCATTAACGTTGCAACCAGGCTGAGAACAGCTCATCCCGCGGCGGACCCGGTCTCTTTTGTAGCTTGGCGCCAAAGCGGCAGCGGGCGGGAAAAGGGGCGGGCGGCGGGGAGGAGCGCGGCGGGGTTGGGCTCCCCGCCGCCATGTCGGGGGGGGGGGGGGGGGGGGGGGGGGGGGGGGTAGGGGTGGGCTCTGGGTTCAGTGTACCCTGGAGCCGAAGAAGTGATGTCCTGGAGCGGGAGAGGCCTTCTGTGAGCCTCCGCGCTGCTCTAAATGAGTTACTTTACAGTGTGTCCCTGGAGTTGTCATCTTTCTGACAAATGCGGCTTCGAGCCTTATGCTTTGACACAAGTATGCAGGTTGTTTTTGCCCAGCTCACACTCTTGAGGTAAATGCGTATTTATTAAAGCTTGGCATTAACATATTAAAATGTCCAAAAGTCGGGTTTTGTTTTCTGGATATGAAATTTATGTGGAAAGTGAGTTATGGTTTATTAATTTCTCCAGCTGCTGCCAGGTTTTAGAAGTCTCCTAGGATGCTCAGGTAGCTGAACATACATATATAGCCCATTATAGTGCAAAATAAGTTGTATAATAATAAATATTAAATGCTCATATGGTGTGTTTGTGTTCCTTCTGCAAAGAGCTGCCTGTCCTGGCTGGCTGGCTGGCTGTCACGGGGGCCTGCCTTCACGGAAGCACTTCTATGGGAGTAAGTTACAGCTGTTTGCTCCACGGGGCTGCCTGACACCGGGTGAATACTGCCCAAACCAGCCATACGTGTCTGACCCGCTTCCCTCTGGAGGCAGTGACAGGTGCAACAAACTCGGTGAGAGCAATGATGGACAAAGGAAAACACTTTCCTGTGAGAGCATCCCCATGGGGGATCTGTGCATGCAAACAGTGCAGCTTGCACTGCACGTGTGCTGCACCATTGATCTGAACATGGTCAACAGACAAGACAATGGTTTCCAGCAGCCTGGTCAAAAATCTTCATGTAGGAGAGTGCTTCAGGTTGGGGAACAAGCACGTTTTTGGGAAACGGAGCACACAGTAGTCCTATTCCAGAAACTGGCTGTATAGTTCCCTCTTACTGACCATATGCTTAGCAAACTCCGGAAGTGAGTACACCAGCTCAGTTAGTACACCAGCATGTGTGTAAGAATATGGCTAAGTCAAGGAACCTGCCATGCTCATAGTTACTCTTGAAGCTAGGCCAAAAAAGAGAGCCTGCAGTGATCAAAACAGAAGAACACAATGCTAATATGTTTTCATATTTAGCTAGCTTTTTTTTTTTTAAACTACTGACAAATCATAAAATATGAAAATGTTACTTAATTTCACAGATATTCCTATTCGGTTGTAACTAGAAAACTTGGCAAAAGCACCCTGGTATTTCAGCTGGTAAGTTTTCCAGCCCTCAGAGTGGGAAAACATACAGCTATTTCAGTTTGCAAGACTTCTATTATCGCAATTTCATATGGACAACAAATGTTCATGTATGGTTTGCTAATGAATGAAAAGGAATGATTTAAATGCAAGAAAAGTAATTTAATGAAAGTAGCATCACTCAGAAAAGCATAAGCCTGAAGGTGAAATGAAAGGCCTGATTATGGCTGATCACGAAGAGAGTTAAAGAGCACTCATTTAATTAATCCAGAGGAAAAAAAAATAGCATAATTCAGTTCAAAAAGTTTTCTAGTTTCTGCACTCTTGAAATATGAATTAAAATTAATAGTACTACAATTACCTATGCCAAATTTGTTATCCTTCATAATTAAGATTCTGAGGACAAACCGTAACTACTACTAACCTTTAAAAAGCAGTATTTATATGCTGATCATACAAAGTGAATGATGAATTTTCTGTTCTGTGAACACTGATGAGTTGTTACAAACTATTCCCTTCCTTTGAATTTGTCATGATTTTCCAGCTGATATCTACAAATCAGCCACAAGCAAATTCAAAATAATGCAATCCTCGTTGCTCAAAAAGAAAGCAAACTAAGATTCTTTCTCTTCTCTTTCTGTCCCATCAGAGAAGAAAAAAATACATACTACAAAATAACTGCTTATATAATTAAGCAATGAGGTTTTTAATTCTGGAGTACAGTTTTCACCTTTCTATAAAATAGCATAAGAATTATTTTTTAAATGCAAAACAAATGGTTTTGTCATGCTTAGCAAATAAGTTTCTGTAATAATTTGAAGCTACTCATATCTCCATCTGTAAAGTTCACAAATGTGTAATTTTTTTCAATTTTTCAAAGGTTATTATTGACTCTTCTATCTTGTTCTTCCTCAAAAGGAGGCATTGATTGATGAGAAGCTCAGTGTGAGCTGGCAGTGTGTGCTTGCCGCCCAGAAACCAACCATGTGCTGGGCTGCGTCAACAGGTGTGTGGCCAGCAGGTCAAAGGAAATGCTTTTCCTTCTTTATTCCACTCTTGTGAGTACTCTCACCTGGGGTACTGTATTCAGCTGTAGGGCCCCCAAAACAAGAGGGATGTGGAACTGTTGGAGTGAGTCCAGAGGAGGGCCATAAAAATGATCAGAGGGCTGCAGCACCTCTACTATGAAGACAGTCTGAGAGAACTTGCTTGTTCAGCCTGGAGAAGAGAAGGCTCAGGAGAGACCTTAGAGCAGCCTTCCCATACTTAAAGAGGGCATAGAAGAAAGTTGGAGAGGGACTTCTTACAAGGATGTGTAGTGATGGGACAAGGGGGTATGGTTTTAAGATGAAAGAGGGTAGATTTAGGTTAGGAATTAGGAAAAAATTCTTTACTGCGAGGATGGTGAGACACTGGCACAGGTTGCCCAGAGAAGCTGTGGATGCCCCATCCCTGGAAGTGTTCAAGGTCAGGTTGGACGGGGCTTTGATCAACCTGGTCTAGTGGAAGGTGTCCTTGACGTGGTGGTGGGAGTTAGAATTAGGTGATCTTTAAGGTCCCTTCCAACCCAAACCATTTTGTGATTCCGTAATTCTAAAAAAACAGACCAAAAACATTCAGCTTTCTAATAATACTGTAATAATATATGGCCTGAGAGGGAAAACTTTTGGTGGAATTTTAGTTAGTAGACTCCTAAGTCTACTAGTCTTGCTAAATGACACATTTTTGGGGAACCTAGATATATTTTGGTTTTCTCCTTTTTTTTTTTTTTTTTTTCTTCTTTAGAATTACACTGAAAGTTTGTGGTCGAATTGTGACTACTCTTCTGACAATGTGCTATGGAGGTGGTACATGATGTGACAGCCCCTTTCTTGAGTTATGTGGTTACAGATACCCACAGAAAGTTACGTCTGGATTAGGTGATATTCAGGCCAGGACCCTGTGATCTAATTGTTGGGTTGCACTGTGGGAAGCACAACAGGTGTGGGGCAAAGTCCTGGTGCCTGGAAGGTTCTGTAAGATGTCTCTAGCAGCTGTGTCCTTTCTGAAAGCAGCAGCTTCTCTGGACCTGCTGTCTGACTCTTCCATTAAGCCTGTCATATGCTTGATCTAGAAGCTTACTTGCACCCTTCATCTGTCTCAGGACCATTCAGATCTCTGTGACAGAACTAGAGTGGTCTGACTCAAAGTCCCTGTTCAGACTGGCATGCACTAAAATAGGCTGAATTGCTTTTAGTTTTGTATCTGACACTCTAGCCCTGTCCTTACATGTTCCTCTTTTATTTCACAGAGAGACGATTAATATGAAGCAGCACAGAGTACCTCAGGTAGACTTTTGTAAGTTATTTTTGTTACTCTCTCTTTTTTTAGGTGAAAGTCTGGAGCATGGATTATCATGGCCTTGCTGTATAGATGTCAATGAACAATCTGAGCTGATTACAGATATTTCAGATGCTCTTATTAATCAGAAGTGATGCAAGTTTGAAAGACATGCTAAATATATAACCATCTGTCAAGATGCTTATATTTTTAGCTCACTGGTTATGAAATTTTCACATCTTCTACCTTTTGTCAATTTTGATAAAAGCAAACTAAGTTGAGTTTGGGGAAACGCCAGGTTTCAGACCCCCTCTCCACTTTCTTGCTGCTTGCTAACGGACTCAATTTTAACTTTGTTGGCAAGCAATATCTCTACACAAATGCAGCATATGTGTAAGTTGTCATTCAGAGAATAATGTTTGCTATTTGCTAGGATATGGAGCATGCAGTTTGGTAGACCACCCTGAAATCACTCTCAAAACCTAAGGGAAAAGTAAAGAGAAATTGCTAATGAGCTGTTGTCTGTAACAGAATGAATTTTTCAGGAACTAATTACTAGATTTAGAGAAAAAGACTCTAAAATAAATATATATGACAATATGTCTTAATATTGCAACATCTGGTTCTTGTCAGTCTTTCAGAGAAGTACTGCTCACTGACAGCATAACTTTCACAGCTAGAGAAGGGGAGTAATTTTTAGGCAGATCTCATCTTCTAATATTTTTCGAAATAGGAGTTTCTACTTGAGTTAAACATTTCCTCCTATACTTACATAGCCGAGAACATATTAAATACAAATGCAGCTGCTGGGATATGCTGCAGTTCTCAATTTCTATGGTTTATTTAATCAAGAATGTGAATTTATTACTTCCTTACTGATAAAATTATGTTTGTTGCAATGTCAGACTTTGCGGTATGAACAAAGTCCTGCTGATGTAACCCCCTCACTGGAAGACCTGCAGCAGCTTATTAGTAAGTCAGCCCATTAATAGATGGCAATAAAACTGTTAGATTTTTATATTATAGTATTTTGTATGGGGAGCATAAGCATTTCAGAATTACTACAGGAGTTTTAACTTCAGCATGTATCTCTTTGATTCAATTTGAATTCAATAATTTTGAAACTGTTTATTAACAAACATAGTAAGAAATGCAACTAATTACAAGCCTTTGATCAAAACCAAATAGAATCACAGAATCATAGAATACCAGGCTGGACTAGATGTCCCACCACTCTGTCTAGCTGAATCTTAAAAGTGTCCAGTGTTGGGGAATTCACCACTTCCCTGGGGGGATTATTACAATGGTTGATTTACCTCTTGTGTGCAGTTAGAATCTCTCTCGGACTAACTTGTGCCCACTACCCCTAGTCTTTTCCATGTGAGTCCTTGTAAAAAGGGAGTCTCCATCTTCTTTGTAGCCACCCTTTAAACGCTTAAGGCCTCCCCTGAGCCTTCCTTTCTCAAGGCTGAACAAAGCCAGCTCTCTCAGCCTTTCCTCATACAGCAGGCTTTCCAGTCCTTTGATCATCTTTGTGGCCCTTCTATGGACCCTTTCCAGCCTGTCCACATTTTTTCTGAGTCATGGTAATTTTAGTGCAGATGAAAGACTGTTGCAAATCCAGTATTTTCAAACTCTGCTGCCAAAATTCAGGACATCAGAATCTGTGTTTAGATGCCTGCACTTTTAGAGATTTGTGAACCCTGAATGCCAGAAAAGCTTGCATGATGTGCATCTCTGACAGAATCCAGTCAATACTAAGGTATTTCTATGATTTTGATGTCCTCATGGAAACCTTTTCTCTTTTCTATTCTCAGGTTTCAATGGCTTGTGTATTACCTTACCTTTTCTATAGCATCTTCTTTCTTGAAAACTAGAATCAAATCCTAGATTTAAGTTTTTGTCCTTCCTGTCCAAGTCAGACACTATTTTGAATATCATATTCTCAGTCTTTCAGAATTTCTGCAGTTCACCAACTCCCTAAATCCAGAACTCCCTAAATCCAGCATCTGACCTTGAATAGCAGGCAGAGTTTTCTCTGACAGCTGTCTTTGCACTTTATTCTGACTGGGCTCACAAATGAGTACATAAATAATATTCTTTAAACAGTCTTCTGTCCAATTTTTAACATTAAAGCTCTTTTTCATCTCACCTAACATTTTTATGAACATACGGTGGTTTTCCATATTTTGACTCTTTTATTGTTTTATTTATACTGATGGTTCTAGTTATAGGCAAATGTTACCTTCCCAGTACCTCAATCACTTTGTAGTTTCTTTGCTATCAGTATATTCTCCAGCTCAATTGGTTCTTTCTGTATGTTATTTGCTGATGCTTTCTGGTTTTCTTTGTTTTAATGTTTGTATCTTATCTCTGACCAGTCCTCTACTTTTGACACTCCTTGTTCACTCATACCTGCCCTTGCATCCAAATTCCCCGTTTTAAGCAAAGTAGTACAATTGACACACAAAGACAAGTGCTAGAAAAACAGAAGGTCCTGCATGTAATCTTTTCTTCTATCTTCTTCCAGAACTGGAAATCACAGATAATCTTGCTAAGCTGTTCTTTGAAAAGTAAACTGAGACATAAAGTCTCAGACTGCAACCCTGGTGTTTTCTTCCAAAACATGAATTACCATCTTTGCCCACCCATGCTAGTCATGATCACAGCTATTCCCTAATTAGAAGTGAGAAATTAATTTTCTGCTTTCAGTATAAAATTTTATTTTCTTGCCATGATGCTTCTGTACTCAGCACCCACCTACATTCTTCACAGCTTTCTATTTCTTCTGTTACCTTCCCCTTATTTTTCAAGGCTATTTTTAATATCTACAAAGAATATTTTCTATTTCCATCCCTTCCGATTCAGCACAGTTTTCCTACCACGGTGCAGTAGTTTTTCCATGAACTTCCATACTTTCCATACTTCCATGAACTCTCCCTAAGTCCCAAAATCTGTTGCAGTGTATTGACTTGCAGAAGCTCCACCTGGACAAGAACAGTTACCTGTCATCACTACATCAGACACATTCTGAAGAAAGAAACCTTTCCTCTTCCATTCCATACAAATAATCTTCAATACATGTATCCCTTCATATCTGAGCAACTAGTTTGCTCTTTGTAGCCTTTTTTTTTTTTTTTTTAATTCTCCTGATATAAATTCATTTTATGATTGTCTCCTTTAACCTCAGTGGAGTTTCTTTCCAATTTTCTTCTTGTTCCTTTCAAATTTTTCTTTATGATAAGATTTAGATTTCTTATACAGAGAATTTTCATAATTTATGTATAACTTCCTGACATTTATATTAGATGTATCTTTAGATTTCATTATTACAGTGTGATAATACTTAAACCTTCATATAAGAGCCACTATACAGAATCATTTTCTTACATCTTTATATTCTTTATATGGGATTTAGTATGGAAGGTGTTAAGTAAATGTGTTAAATCCATTCTGTGGTAAGAGATGAATTACCCTTTCAGCTAACCTGTGGACTGGACAAATATTTCAGGATTTTTAGGTATACTACTACATCAAAATTATACTAAGTTAAAGGAAACAGAAATAACTGCTGCAGTCCCCCTGGTTTTGTCCTGTATCTAACCTCCGCATGATTAGATCCCTTTGACCTACTTGGCTTTCAAGTTTGCCAATATTCCCGTTTCCCCAAATACCCTTTACCACCAAAGGCGTTTTCCTTCCTCAGTAATAACTGCTCCATTCCTAAGACATGACACCAAGACAATGGTAAAACAGGAGGCATGAAGCCTTGTTTTGTAACATCCTGGGTGTTAGCTTTGCAGCAGGGCAGAGACAGTTCAGGTGCCACTATCATATGACTTCTTTTCACCTCTTCCAAAAAAGTTCTGGCTGTCTCCTAAACTCATCAACTAATTACAGAAGAGCAGCTAACAGCCACGCTGCTTTAACTTATCAATAATGAAAAGTGAGCTGGAGCTGTCAGGAAATACATTTGACATCTCAGCTTTGAAGAACAGGAACTCTGTTCTCCCTCTGTAGATATGAAAGGAAATATAATCATTAGTAAACCTAATTTATTTCATAAGCAGAGTTGGCAGTGTGATTCCTTTTCAAGACTTCCTGGCACTTTCCTATTATGAGAGTCTGCTTTTAGTTGTCTACATCAGACAAACATGATTTGTTCAGGCTGAAATAACCCTAGCTGAGCATTTGCTTCTACTAAGATTATTTTTTATCTTTCAAGTTGTATCCATATTTTTTATGCTACTTTAACTTTAAAACCATTATAAATAAACACATATTCACATTAGGAAGGCATCAACTCAGATGGCAAAGACAGTATATGGTAAATGAGGAATTCTAGCATGGAGCCACAGCAGCTTAATGCTTTAAGAAAATAGATGATTAGGTAAAGAAGACAAAGAGCGGGATGTGATCTTTGAAGCAAGAATCATTAAGGAATTCAAAGGTGGATGGGCTATAGATTGTGGAAAGTGAAGACAGACATTAGATATTCAGCATTCTTATTTCTCAGAATACAACAGAATATTATTAGGGTACAAAGTAATGGAGAAAAATTATCTTTTGAGGCCAGCCTTCACAGGAACCTAAGGAGATAAAGAAATCAAATAGCAGATATACTTCATACTTTTCAAAACTGAGAAAGCAAAAGGGAACTGAAATGTGGTTTTCTTAATTTCCAGGAAAGTAAATAAACCCCCCTCCCTATTACTTCTACAGAAATTCAGTGGGTTCTGTAAGGACAGTAACAATGAGAACTTTGATTCTCTCCACTGGTATGTATATATGTCCTCTGGGTAAGCATTTTTCCACAGAAGATGAATGTCTTACACAAGCAAAATAAGAAACAGGCCAAAAATAATAAGAATTTTATGGGCTTTGTGAAAACTATCTGCTCTTGTTAGTACAACTTTTTAGGATAAAAATATTTCCATGCAAAGAGTCTGTTAAATTGACTTTTTTTTTTTTTAAGGATTTGACAACAGAGGATTCTTGTTGGGAGATGCTATATGGGTCATTTTGTTTGTGCATTTTGTGCTAAAAGTTCTTCAATATTTTCAACAGGGCTTCAGCTGATCTGCAGCACAAGAACCTGAAATTAGCTAGCACAATGCAATCAATATTGAGCAATATTTTGTCTCTGAAAGAAATTCAGTCTGACAGAGAAAAGACCAGTGCAGGAAAAGTGAGATTCTGGCTGAAAAGCTGAATACAGAAATTCCCTGCAAAGTGGTACAAATTAGTTGATGTCACCAGAGCAAGAAAACCGTAGTGACAGAATAAAATGTTATCCAGGTTCCAGAATACTTTATTATCACCACCTTAGGTCACTAAGCTTCACAAGCTATATCCATCAAGTTTGATAGCAGTATATATACTCACAGCTGAAGCTAGAAGGTGCAGTGCTTTAATGTACTAACGATTTACATTAAGACACCTGGGTTCAAAGTCAGTTTATGACATGAACAGAATGGGTTTGTTGGTCTCAGCCTGCTCTCTAGTGGACAACTGCACATAAACCCAGTCCTGAGAAGAATCCCAAGAATTAGATTTGGTGGCCAAGACATATGATGAAATTCATATTCTCTGAACAACATTATTCAAAATGAAATTAAATTGGATATCTGTGCTAATTCTGAAACACTGTAAGATGAGACACGTCCATTGGCGTCTCTTAAATACTATATTCAGTATTGTAACCAGTATTTGGAAGTAAAGAACAGAAGGGGAACCAGTACAATGAAAGGCAGAAAAGGAAATTAAATGTTTTCATGTTAGGTTAAAATGAAGATAAGATGACATACTGCTATAACAGACATTTAATGTTTATGACTAGGTACAATATTTGTCTTTATTTACTCTTTTTCATAATGCAAGACAACAAGAAATGAAAAAAATGGCACACACAATAACGATAAAAGGAAGTATTTTCTTGGTACATAATTAACCTGTAAACTCATGTCTGAAAGACATTTCAGAGACAAGAGCTAAACAGGACTTAAGAAAGATTATGCTTTTATATAAATAATGAGAATAGGAAGAGGTATGTTAGATAGTATTAAAATGAATGAGGGATATAAAGTCTCATGATTCAAGATATAAAACAAACTTAAATTGCCTAGAGCATGAGAAGAAACTACACCCACAGATGTTTTATTTCATTAGTGTATCCCATACAATGTTTACATTCACTTCAGCAGGCAGGCAGCAGAATACTGGAGTCTCAGATTTGTGTAGTTGGTGGTATTTCCTACGCTTCCAAGACAAATTCCTTAGTGACTCATTTGCAAAAATCAGCTGCAAAAAATTGTCTGGAACTCTGACCCCATTTCAGGTTATTCCCCTTTACATTGCTTAACCTTTTATTAGTCAGGAGAACAACACTCATTGATAACTAAGCATTTACAATTACAATCATATGTCAATGACAGAGGCAAAGTAAAAATTTTATTAAGTTGAAATATCTTTTCAAAACTTTTTTTTAATATAAAAAAGTTGTTATTGCTAGCTTATAACTGACCATTACATATTACACATATATTTGTATGATATATTAACATATATATACACTGTATTTACAGAGTCTTTTACAGTCTTGTGCTTTTTCCTAGTCTAAGCTGACTATTCCATTATTTTTCATCATGTCATCTACCTCCCTGATTTGCAGGAATGTTTGAACACTTACGTTTTACAAGCCTACGTTTCAAGTTTAAGATAAATTTAAAACTAAATTCTTATCCAAATAAAGTTCACTTTATGGAGTGGCTGCTATTTACCGTGTTTAAAATACTGTATTTCTAGATTTTACATAATTAAACAAAAAACAAAACTAAACCAAACCCCAGTCTCTTTTTCAGTCTTTCAATGTCAGAACAGCCTCTCTGACATTATTCTGATTCCAAATTTAGAGAATCATCATTTTTCATAAGAAAATAGTTTTACGCTCAATTTTGCAAGGAAATGCAATTCCAGATATAATTTAAAGTGCAATTTATCAAACATTAATTTCCACTGCTCTCTCAGTGACTAATTATACTATTAGTTTATCAAAGCTCTTCTTTCATGGTCCTTTCATGATTACCACTTCTGATTATTTTATTTCCAATCTTCTGAGAGCTGGTGGTTTATTTAAAGGTTGAACCAGTAAATGCTAGTGTGAAAATATGAGTTATCATGTACAGAAAGACAAGTTTCCTAGGCTTTGTTAGAGAAGAAGTGCATTTGAACTACTTTTTTAAAGTGAACTAAGTGAATCTGAAAGCCTCTAAAATCACAGGGCAAATAAAGTAAAACCTTAATGTACTGGGGAAGTGAGATGTCTCAATTTCTGCTTATGTGTCAGCTTCCATGAGTAAATTCTTACTCCAAAATTATGTTTTTATGGAATAGCTTGACAAGCAAAATTCCCTTGAAGATTAAAAAAAAATAATTAGAAATGGTAAATAAGACCTAAATTTGTCAAGCATAATGCAAAGGAATGAAACACTAAGACTCCTGTAACTTCAAAAGAATTTGAATTATGCATTTAAATTCACACTTAGGCATGAAATAACATAATTACCAGGAAAATAGCAGCTCTTGCAGTCAATAACAGACACTGGATTGAGTTTGTCAATTTTTCTGAGCTGACAAATGAAAGATGATGGCTGCTGAAATGAGATGCAGATTATATGAGAACTACTATGGTCCATAAGAACTAATGCTTTTATTCTCCAAGCTTGAAGCTGTAAGAAATATTAATAAAGCTATTTATATTTAGCTAGCTGTAGTGCATCAGGTATCCAGTAAAGAAAGATTTCTTGATGGAGGTAGTCTTCTGTTTCCACTTGGCATCAAACAAAGCTTAATAAAATGATAAAATGTTTTTCTGCTTCATTTTGATAATTCAACAGTAGTATGACCAAGAAAGCCCTGTCAGAAGTACGGACTGCTTGCACAGAATTCCTATTGTACTCATGACTACCCACTGGCAAATACTAATGTGCAGAACAAAAGTAAGTAAGATAACTATAGCTCAAAATAGATAGTGCTGGAAACAGCAAGTGTACTGGTAAAGGAGAAATCCAATCATAATAGTGGTGCCTCACTGCTGGAGGACAAATAAATAAAACCCAGTATTTTTGCTATGCAAGATCTTAATCTTTGTGATCTTACAAAAGAGCTTAAAATCCTTTACTTTCTGCAAAGCAGATATCCATGCATACTGAAAGAGGAACATACTGTAACCACGACTATATATTCCAGGGATATAAACCTCTGAATGACAGCTCAGGATCAGCCAAAGATGATCAAAGCCTCAGGAATCTTATCTCCCCAACTTCTGTGGGAGCCCACTGTGACAAGTTTATCTCTTTGATCTCAAATTTAAAATATGTCAGAATGGATTAATTCTACATGTTTATTTTCACATTTTTTTAATTTTAAGTGGTAGGCAGGGCTCAAGCTTTCAATTTTCTCACTGGTTTCCATCACTTGGAAAGTGCCAGGGGCATGGCATGGAGGAAAGTTCTAAATTTGGGATTTCAGCTGAAATCTTTTCAGCTTTTCCTCAGCTCTTCTTCAAAAGGTTTCTGAACTGGATTGCAGAGAAACATGAGGGGTAAAGAACCTTAGGAGAGAAATCTGAAAAAAATGCCATAGAAAAGGAAGGGAGAAGATTCCAGTCTGTTACTATTTTTACACCTCATTATTTTGAAAAGTCATGGATTCTGAATGCCACAACTGAACTGTTTTGGCCATGATAGAGATTTCCCAGTCCAGACAGTCAATTCCCCTGTATCCAAAGGTATACACTTCAGACAAGTAGGCCATCGCCCTGAGGAATAGACCTGACTGGAGGCTCAGAGTTACCCAGGGTCCCTTCTGTGAGGTTCATGAAACGATAGCCCTACATCTTCCTTCTGCACAATCTCGTAATCATTGACTGTAACTATTCACAACTGACTTCTGCATTGAGGCCTCCGTGCTGGGCCATTCTCTTCGGTTCTGCTGGACCTGCGTGTGCAAGACTCATAAAACAGCTAGGTCACTGAACAGGTGCTGTCAAGAGTTGTACCTATTGGTTTAGTAGGGAAGCTTGAGGCACACATTACTATCTATAGGCTTACTGTGCAGAGTATCACCATTGTCATTCTGGATATGATGGCAGAAAAGTCCAGTCACCCCCTACTGCCATGGTCCCAAAATGTCAGTGAGAGTGCCACAAAAATACAAATAGGGACAACTGTTCACCGCAACTAATAGTGGTATAGGGGAGAGAAGCACAGGGCAGCTGCATGATTATTCATAGGTGTAGAGGAAAAAGCAAGGGTAGGTAAGAACAAAGAAAGTGCTAGAACAGCACATGCACATATTCACCCATATCTCCCCACATTTTAATTTCTTTGTTCTCTACAGACTCAGCTCTGAGGAAGGGAACGCAGGAATTTCCTCAACAACATCTAGACTAGAACATGGTGAAGGAACAGCTAAAGGCTTACACCCAGGCACTCCTTCCCTACAATTTTGGTTTAATTTATAAAAGAGTATGAAGTAAGAAAGAGGAAGTTTGTTACAAGGAAGCAAAGGGCAGCTCAGAGCCTCAACTCCGTACAGGCACCAAGGAACCTATTTAAGGGTATTGTAGTAGAAACACATACTTTCTCTTAAGACTTCAGAAAGGGCAAAAGGAAGCTGGTGTAACTAGCCAGCAGGGTAGTGAGGTTGTTAGAAGCAAAAGTACGTCTTTGAAAAAGCTGAAGTCTTGTTCAAATGACACAAGAAGAAAGTGTTACAAACTTGGGCAGGTTAAATATGAAAATGTAATAAGGCAGACCAAAAAGCATCTGAAGAATAACTGACGAAGGAATGAAAACTAGTAATCCTTTTCTCTACAAACCCATCAGGAGCAGGAATTTTGCCAGAATCTGTAAGGCCAGTTCATTTTTTAGGGTATAAAAAGAGTACTTGGAGAAGACAAGGTCATTGCAGAGAAGTTAAGTGAACCCTTTGCATTGTTGTTTGATGTGGGAAGAACTGGGAAGATTCCAAAACCAGAACCCTTCTTGGTGGCGGACTCATCTGAAGATCAGTCTGAAATTGAAAATACTGTAGAAGAGGTTAAGGAATAAATAGATAAAGTGAAAATCAGCAGGACTCTGTAGTATTCACTCCAAATTTCTAAAGGAACTCAAGGACAAAAGAGCTGAATTACTTACAGCAGGGTGTGATCTATTGCTTAAAATTGCCTTGCTTCTGGAAGGCAGCAGATGTGACATCAGCTCTTTAAAAAGTTTACAAAGAAAATCTGAGGACTGATAGGAATGTAAGTCTGACCTGTACTGAGCAAATTACTATATACCATGACAAGGAGCAGAATTAGGGGACACCTGGGTAGATTTGATTTATTGCGGAAGAGTTAGCATTCTGTTGAGGAAAATACTGCTTTACAAGTCTAATAAACGTTTTCCAAATGAGACAAAAAAGATATGGATAATACTGGGGTGATGATGTTGATACATTCTACTTTGATCTCCAGAAGACCTGAATTCAGGTTAAAATTAGGGTTTGCTAAACTGTAATCTATAGGGATGGTAAGACTGAAGGAAATAAAAAGATCACCAAGGAAATGCAAGGCAGAAGTTGGTGGGTTTCCAGGGAGAATATTATGGGAGGGCATCCTAAGCAGGCTGGCCTGACATTAGCCTTTGGGCAAGACTGAGGAAAAATAGTTGGAAAGAGTGTGGTTCTTTTTCCAGATGGAGAAAAAGGCCCAGAAAATCAAAGACCTCTTACTGGTAAAATGTGATGCTATTCACTATGTTATCCTTTTCAGTGCATTCACATGAAGCCCAGTAAATAGGATTTTGCCAATACTAGTAAAAGGCCAGAGACTCTGTAGTGACTTGGCTGTGCAGGGTCTCAGGAGCTGTCTGGGCTTTTCTTGACCAGAGCTGATTTTAATTTGGTTTTTCTTTTCAGTGTGTAACAATTGTCTTCTGGTCAACTGCGTTGAGCTAACTGGATTGAGCTTGGTCTGTGGATACTTTATATGTTAAAGGCCTAACCACCCCATTGTCACAGTGGCTCTTTACATTGATAGGGTCTGTGGGAAGCTGTGGAGCAAACCTCAGACTTCATCAATGAGAAGGATGCAGACTGTAGCAAGAAAACCCAAGCAGACCCCTAAACAGAAGGGAAAGAAACTCCTACTGCAAACATCAAACTATTTGCAGCAAAGGATGCAGGGGGCCAATGACTCATAACACCTCCATTTCTCATGCAGTCTTTGTAACAAAGATGGAAGTTGTCGACTTTAGGGTCCAGTGGGACATGCAGAAGGTGGGCATAGGAGCAGAGAAACTGAGCAGAAACAAAGAAGTTTATATACAACAATCTTAACTGTATTGTTAATATATTCATTCTGTATTAATGGGGTAGTTTGTACCATTAGATAATTAAAACATTACTAGGACGAAAACTACATTCTTACCTCCTTTTTTAAGGTATGATCCCTTTAGCCCATAACAGGATTTGAATGTAACATGAATCCAGCCTCAGGCTAGGGCTAGTCCTAAGGGTTAGGGCTAAGGTTTGAAAAGCCAGAAAGCTTACAGGGGGTGATGAGACTGGTGGCAGAAAAGAGACACCAAGGAAATGAAGGGCAGGTGTCCAGGGGATTCCCAGGGATAACCTGAGGGGTCTGAAGCATGACACAAGGCTTCTGCCTAGGCCTAGTGTTAGCCTTTGACTTTGAAGTTCAGACAGTGTGGTTGAAAAGAGT